AGAGAGAGAGAGAGAGAGAGAGAGAGAGAGAGAGGAAAAAAGAGTAAATTATTTCTACTGATGAGAATGACAACATAAACTTGGCTTACTGCAGTGAACAGGGCATATTCTGTTAGATTTTCACCAAAAAATTGAAAACGAGCTCATCACTGTATCAAGAACAATAACAAAAATAACTAATAAAACATTGATAAACCCAAGATTGTTTCATAGATGTATACTTAAATGGAAGTGTGTACTTTTACTGTTTTGTCTTTCAGATATGACATCATTATTGATGATAATCTCAAGCCTTGGTTGATAGAGGTGAGGAAAGAAATGTTTATGACTTCCTTTATCCTCTCGTTGTTTTATCCTGGCATGTGTATCACCTGCTAATTTGCCCTTTATACTTTATGAACCTGTTGTTTACTGACACAACCTCACAATTAAAAAAAAATTTGGTTTAGATAATAAAAAAGTTAATTTTATAATACAGCTTGTTTAAGTTCATAGAGCTTTTAATTGATTTTATAGGACTTTGGTATGGTTGAAGAAGATTAAAAACATTTTTTTTGTGTGTGGGGGAGTTGTTTTGGGTCTTGCTTTTGAATGATTTTTGGTCTGGAAACAAAAATTGAGAAAGAAGTATGTTGGGATGGATCTAATGTGATAGAATTTTGTTTTCTACAAGTGATGCAAGTGACACGTCCTTCAAATGTTATTGCTTTTCAGCTGAATACTCTTCAACATATTTTAAAAGTAGTTTGTAAGGCTAGAAACAATACAGTAAAGTCTGTGAATCTCGAAAACGAAAATAACGAATTCACAGGTATCTCGAACATAATGCTCGGTCCCGTTTCAGTCCCTATGTTTTCTTTGTATTGATTTCACAGAGTTCCCAGCACTCAAATCTTGAACAAATCCAATTCGCATTTTCAACTAAAGATCCGGCTTCACAGCCTTTCTGGCCGCGGGAAGGTGTTTCTTTGTTATCTTTATAGCCAAAATGTGGTCCTTGTCTCACCATGAGAGGCTGGAGGAAGGGGGTACGGGGAAGGGGGGTTGGGAAGTGATGCTGACCGCACCGCATGACTGGCTCACAACGCGTGCAATCGAGCTGTGGGACGCATGCGGTGCGGATGGCAAGAGGGGTAACTGTCTGTAAGCCAATGAAATCAGAGAGTAGGAATGATGGAGGAGTTTTTCGGCTTTCCACTTTCATCCATCTTCTTGCTTTCACACAGTCAGTACGTTCATAAAGAGAGGTAACCATATTACTTGTTTTAGTGGGTTTTTTTTATTTCTCTCAATTTTCTCTCTATTTTTCTGTATTTAGGGCTTTCACGGACATGACAAATTACAGAAATCTCGAACTCTATTTCCATTCCCCGACGAATTCGCGTAACCCGTGTTTGACTGTATTTTCTTTTACTTGTGAGAAAATATTTTTAATTATTGATATTCACAAGTCATATTTCCATTCCCCGACGAATTCGTGTAACCCGTGTTTGACTGTAATTTCTTTTATTTGTGAGAAAATTCTTAAAATTATTGATATTCACAAGTCAATGTTCTTTTATCTTCAGTGTCTCCTTATGAAAAAATTTGTGTAGGTATGGTAACCACCTTTTAAAAGAGGCTTTTTTTATGAAAAAGAAAAATCTCTACATATTAAAAGAAGCCCTTTCTTATTTTCCTCAGGTGAATGCATCTCCTTCTCTTTCTGCCACAACTTCCAGTGACCGCATCATGAAATATCGGCTCATCTCTGATGTTGTCAACATCGTGATTCCTCCAGGAGACATCCCTGAGTAAGATGTGGCGATGAACATTTCTCATCTTGATTGCTCAACTTTTGCTTATGTTTTATTGATCTCTTTTCTTTGACTCCCAGCTTTCCACTACTTTTAACGATCTTGTTGGCTTGCCCCCGACTTTATGTTCAACTTGAAATAAGGAAAGTAAATTTTATATATAACAGTGGCAACCATATATAACAGGCCCGGTAATAACAGGGATCCGGTAATAACAGGGATTTTTTAAATCCCCGTTTTTTCTTACTCTTTGTCTCTATTAAAAGTTATTGGCAATAACAGGGCATCATCGGAGCCCAGTCGGTTATAGCAGGGTCAAAGGCTCATTAACAATGTGTAAAAAGTAAGAGAGAGAGAGTAATGCAGTGATGGAGCAAGCCCACACAAGCCACGCCAATGCAAGCACACGCAGCAGGTGAAGCAAGAGAGGGCTGTGGTGTGCTGCAGACTTTAATTTAGCCCTAAGCTTAGCTACACTCACGCGTAATGTATCATGCGCAGGCGTGCCACATGGCCTCAAGAGAAGGGAAACTACCGATGAATAAATACAGATGATTAGTGCTCAAATGCTTACTTCCTTTGCACTTCTGATTTAACAGGGATCTAATATAACAGGACTTTTTCTCTGGTCCCACTATCCCTGTTATATCATGTTTCCACTGTATATTTTGTCCTATGTCAATAAGTTCTAATTTAGAAAGATGTCTAAAATGAAGTGTTGAAGGGTTCATGACCTAAAACGTTGCCAAAGTAGTTTTTGTCTGTGTGCTGCTGACAAATATTCTCACAATCACCCTTACAATGGGACAGAGCAGGATCTGGCCTAGCTGTGAGGGACGTAAAATGAAGTAATAGAAGGAGAGAGTCGATGATTCTTTAGAAAAATAGTGAAATAATCTGAGAGTTCTGTGTTTCCATAAATATATATTATAATAGATTCAAAGAGGACCGCAAAACTCCTAGCAGTAGGTACCAGATACTAAATTTTAAAAGTAGCTATATGCCAAATTTATCTGTTCCGTATGAAAGGCCTATATCTCCTGAGAATTTTGGTACCATTCTTTAACCTCTCAGTTGATTTTTAAGAAAATGGTAGCTGTTCAAAATTTTGTCAAATTTGTTAAAGTCACTCTCTGGCTGCAACCCCATGTTTGACAGATAATAAAAGAGTACCAAGGGCATAAAAAAATCTCCACACTAACAAAGTACAATCACTATAACATAGATATATGGAGCCTAATTTTTTTCAAGACTGTAAGACCATTACAAATCAGTATTTTATCGCCGCAAACAGGATGATCTATCGTTATTTCGACAAAAACTCCGAGCATTGACCCGGCTGGCGTCCCACCAGCCCCCCACGGCGAGCGAGTCGACTCTATACTGTAGTGTACTCAGCGCTCCTCGGGTGGGGAGTCACTTGCTTTCAGAGTTTCGCGGAAGGATTGATGAAAAATAGTTTCAAGCCGATTACTTTATTCTAACAAAAAATTAACTGATCTTTTTATTGATTCCCTTTTTGAGCTGGTATATTACATATTTCGTATAAAAAATTATCTTTGAAAACTTTGACGGCATTTTTAAAGACTTTCTGTTAAACGCAATAGGCCAAATATATACCACGGGAAAGACCGTCCAAAGCTTTCTACAGTTCTCCGCCAATGAAAAGACGGTATTTAATCCTCAATCATTCCGCGAAGCATTTGAATGCACGCGTGCCAATTTTTTAACTGGCGAACCACACGTTCTGACAGCGAGGGGCTTCTTTTCCCATGACGATTCTCCGGCTCCTAATAATCGGACATATAAACAACTTACACCATTGTAACAAGGAAAAGCTGAAATTTTACAAGGTGTACCCCATTTGGTGTTTTTATAGCGAAAGAGCAAAGAAACAGCGATCTGAATTACCCCAATTTCACGGATACCACGCTCTCGGAAGGCCGCAAGTGCCTGTGAGGCCGTGTTTACGCTACCTACTAGTGTTAATCCGCTTGTGTTGTACCATTGATACTACTCAAAGATCGATAGAGCCATTCTAAGACAAAGTAGCTCGAGACTAAAGAATGGGAACGGTACAATGTTGATAGATTAAGCATTTGATTTTATGTGACTTGCTATACATTCTGTCTGGATATTCATCGAATGATCGTTGAATGGGTTTGTGTCCCTTCAACGCTGTTAGGCTATTCAAGAGGCGAGTCCTCTTAATTTATCATCCAAAAAACTCCCCAGAACAACTCAAGTTCAGAATGCTCTTAGGGGATTCAAATCAAAACCATCCGCTCTGTAATCCAGTATGATACCTACTGAGCTAACAGTGAGCCTGTATTGTTATATATAAGACCCTGTTGACGGGTTAGTTGAACATTGGATGTATATGAAGTACGAGCAGGCGGGTGTATCACCATCTTGATCCTTCATTCTGCTATGACTCCAAACCCTTTTACGATCTAATTAAGTAAGATAAGATAGACTTTATTGGTGTTCCACAGGAGGAAGTGAATGGTGCACTTTGAATAGCTTTTTCAAAACAAAATCCAAATCTGTAGTGTTGTAACACACACGTGCAAACACATACATAAAGACTCACTCTGGCATACATATATATATATATATATATAGTCTCACAAACTCTCTATCACTTTCTCTGACAACACAGAAACAAGAAACTCCTTCATTTTCTAACTCTCTCTCCCTCTTATTATAGTCTGTCTAACTTATTCTCTCCCTCTTTCTGTCTCTATCTGTCGAGGTAGTCTCTCTTTCTCTGAGACTTACATATTTCCCATTACTGTGCATAAATGCTGTTTTAGGAGCTTAAGTTTTGTTCTCATTGTTTCAGCGTTCGATGGAACAAAGTGCCTGACAAAGAAAACTATGGACATTTTGATTTGCTGTGAGTATAACTTCAGTTTGTGCATTAACTATGGTTGTCCCTTTTCAGAAATTTCTGGACAGCCTAAGGTGCAAAGTTGTGCAAACCTATTTTTCTTAACAATGGGCAGTTTTTCCTGTCAACACTTTTGTGTGGTTCATCAGTTTATATTCTTTTTGTTAAAGATGAAGTAGTTTTGGTGAGATCCAAATAATTTTCTTTTTGATAAGCAACACACAAATTTTCAGATTTCTGGCGCCGAAATTTTAAAATATGTTTTTCAGTGAAACTGAAGGTCAGACAACACAAATTTGTTTTCTCAGTCTTTCCTGAATTAAGCAGCAAAAAAGCTTTTCAGTCTGGCTTGACCAGTGCAACCACAGCTATGATCTACTTTGTATGTTCTTGTATTATCCACTTATGGTAGGAGTAGCACAGTAGTATTCTAACTTTATGTCTATGACCAGATATGATGAGGAACTCGCCAATGCTGACCAGGCTGGTCAAGACTTGCGGGCAAAGGCCGGGCTGCCAAATCCTGCTCTTCGTGGTGGGATCCGGGAACAACGCAAAGGCTCCCAGGCTACCTGGAAATGATGACATTTATTCAGCAAGAGGAATGACAGGCAAAAAAGCATAATATTGTCTGTCTTTATTTGTGCCTAGTTTTTATTCCTTTTTCCATTTTGTAATTCCTTCCAGATTCAGTCTTTCATGTTCATGTCAATATTTTTTTTTCTTAGTCCTGTACATTCTGTCCCCTTCCTTCTTGATCTTTGTTGATTTTGTTCCCTTTGAATTTGAACAAGGGTCATGCATCCTCATTCTATGCCTCTTGTTCCTCTTCTTGTTCTTGTTCTTGTTCTTATTCTTTTAACACCACTCCTCACTTTTTCCTCTAGGTTTGTTGGTGTCTTTATCTTAAAGTATTGAGCCATGGGTGTTTTGATTTGAAAGGTTGGAATGTATGAGAGTATGCTTTGATACATTGTATTCATGAACTGTCCAGGTGCACTATGCTCAAGTTCAGAATGTTTCAGTGCATGTCATTCCTTTTCTTATTTTCATTCATTAACTCTTATCCTGCGTCTGTGCCCAGATGCGTATCTTATCAGCAACCGATTACGTCGGACTCGCCGGGCAGGCCGCCGGGGTCACTCAGTGTGTACTGTTGGTGTACAGCGCGCGCGCCGGGAAACGTGTGTTTTCGCCATGAATACCGCGGGAGTGTGTTAACTGATGATGAAAATAACGCTCTATCCTTCATAGTATTCTATTTATAAAGTGTTACAAACACATGAATAACCCCCTCTCACAAGCTGATAAGACATTACGAGTAGTTACGCCCATTTGAATAACCTTTCTGGACGCTCTTGTTGTTATGAATGACCTGAGGTTCGAAAAGGGATAATTTAGGTCAATTTCCGAATGTTTTACACTCAAATTGTTCTTTGTACCTGCACAAGGGTATTCAAAACTATTAAACAAAGCTCATCTTTTATCAGATAGTATCATTTCATACAAAATCAAGCTCATTTGAAATATTTTGTATAGAAAAATGGAAGTCTTGTTTCCTGACTATCCTTTCGAGCTCCTCATGTCTAAGTGGGTCAATTTCTTCTATAATTTCATTGGACGAACATCTAGAGCTATCAACTTGGCATGTTTTGAATGAGATGTATGCCTCGATTACGAACCAACGCAGGTGGTTCTAGAAGAAGGCCACAAACGCACACAAACTCAAGCAGACTGACGCACACACACTTGACCTGCGTGAATGGGGATCCGACTCGGGACCCGAATGACATGTAACAGGATGCGCGCTGCGCGTGCGCTGAACCAGGAGCTACACTGACTCGGGACCAGAACGCAGGCGAGGTGCCGAAATAGGCTTATCGGGCTACATAAACCCGGCTCCCGCAGGATGAGGGTTAAGAAGATGGAAGTAAATTTTCAAAAGTGTTTGTGAAGCTCATGTCTCTTACATATTATTTAAAGGACAGGCATCTTGTGTTGTAATGATGTGGCTTTTTTCCTTGTATGCAGGAAACTAGATTTGGTTTCCAAATTGTGAAGCTAGTCAAGTGTATCTGTCTTTCTGCTGGGATTCTGGATACCTTTAAGCCTGATTTGTCCCCCGTCAGGATGGACTGAAACAGTCTCTTCTCTGAATGGTGTAATTTTTGTTGATGGAGGCGTAAAATATTTACATTGAATAGAGAATAATCATAAGTGCAAGGTATGGGGTTCAAATTCAAGAACCTGGCTTTATGTAGGTAGCGTAAACACGGCCTCGCGGGCACTCACGGCCTTCGGAGCGCGTGGTTTCAGTGAAATCGGGGTAATTCAGATCACTGTTTCTTTGCTCTTTCGCTAAATATCACCAAATGCTGTACACCTTGAAAAAGTTAAGCTTTTCCTCGTTACAGTGGTGTAAGTTGTTTATAATATGTCCGATTATTAGAAGCTGGAAAATCGCCGTGGAAAGCGAAGCCCCTCGCGGTCAGAATGCGTGGTCAGCCGGTTCAAAAATTGACATGTGTGCATTTAAATGCTTCACTGACAGATTTATGATTAATTAGCGTCTTTTCATTGGTGAAAAACTGTAGAGCTTTGAAAAGGCTTTCCCTTGGTATATTTTTGGCCTTTGGCGTTTAAATACAAAGCCTTTAGAGATACCCTCAAAGTTTTCGAAGATCATTTTTTACGCAAAATTTATAAAATGCCGACTCAAGAAAGGTACCAATAGAAAGATCAGTTCATTTTCTATTAGAATAAGGTACAGTCCGTGCCGGCTATAAGCACGCCGGCCTTAAGCACGTTTCGGACTCAAGCACGCTAAACGGCTCTTACCGAATTTTTGCTATATAAATTACACGCCTATAAGCACGGTAACTTCGGCTTCAAGCACACTTCATTTACAAGGCAGTCAATATTTTCATGATGACCCATCGAAGTTCGAACACAGTTTACACCGCAACAGTGGAGTGTGTCAAGAGAAACACAAAGAACGCAAGTGATGGACACACACACTCGCACGGGCGGAGAGGAAGGCAGAGAGATGCACACAGCCGTTCGCGCGAACATAGGATCTAGACTAGGCCTAGGGCAAAGCTACACACGATCAAAAAAAAAAAAAGAGAGTCTGGGAGATGAGAAAAGGAGGCTGGCTGCGATTTCACCTTTGACCCTTGCTACCCATTAATCCTGATTGTGTATCACGCGCGAGGTGGGATGAAGGCGGTGGTATGAGTGGCACAGGGGGCAGTGGTACGCACAGGCAGTGTGTTACAGTAGGCCTAGTGTGCTGTATCATGACTGGCCGTCTAAATTAAGTTTTCATTTCCCATTCGACCACAAAACAAAAACAAACAAGCGAACAAAAACTACCATGGCGGGTGTCTAAATAACAGTGCACACTTTTGTGGGACCGCTATAGGCCTACTTACAAACTAAGGGAAATATCACGGGAAATTTTCTACATGAAAATCTCTGGATTATGTCTACTTCGCACTTAAGCACGCTTCGGCTTTAGGCACGCTTAAGCTTTCTCCCGATGACCGTGCTTAAAGCCGGCATGGACTGTAATCGGTTTGGAATTATTTTGCATCAATCCTTCCCTGAAACTCGCAAAGCATGTGACCCCCGCGGGGAGCACTCGGCACACTACAGTAGAAATTCGATCACTTGCCGCCGGGGCCGGTGTGGCGCCGGCCGTGTCAACGCTCTGTGTTTTTATCGAAATAACGACAGATCATCGTGTTTGAGGCAATAAAATACTGTTTTGCCATGATCTCAGTCTTGAAAAAAATTAGGCTCCATATCTATGTTATAGTGATTGTACTCTGTTAATGTGGAGTTGTTTGGAGCTCTTGGTACTCTTTTATTATCTGTCAAACATGGGGTTGCAGGAATTAGCGACTTAAGCAAATTTGATCATATTTAAAACAGCTACCAAAAATTGACTGAGAGGTTAAAGAATGGTATCAAAATTCTAAGGAGATATAGGCCTTTCATATTGAACAGATAAATTTGGCATACAGCTACTTTGAAAATTTAGTTTGTGGTACCTATATTATGTTTGTGTGGTTTACAAGCCCTGAATATGTGAGCTCAGTATTCACTGAGAAGTCAGCTGTTTCATCCATAAACTTAATTTTTTGAAATTCAAGGGATATGAGTGACTTTTGTAGAGTTACCTGTCTACACTAGTGCTCTTCATGTGCTATGACCATGGAGATGACCAACAAAAACACTTATTTTCTTAGTTAGAATCAACTCACAGGGAAGTGTAGGCTAACTGGTCGGGACTATCTTCAACCACTTTTCTGTGGTCTCTCTTTTACCCTGATTCAGGCAAGAATGGTTTCCATGGAAAGTCTTATTTTCTGTGATCCACATTGTTGACATCTTTGTGGAATAGGGAGAAGAAGTGTAAACATTTCTCCACTGTCAGATATTTTTTATAGGTTGTTTCATGTAAGATAGATCTAATGAGACTCTGTGGGAATCAATTCTTAGTTTAAAATGTGATATGATGTAGTGATAAAAAAGTGATTGTGAGGTCTATTTTGACAATACCACAACTGTATGTGTCGCAGCATTTTGGAATCAGGCACTTGTCAATTTAGGGACATATATATAGAGTCATTGTATAATCTTAAAGCCTGTTCATTCGCCTTGCGTTTGGTGAAAAAATATACATGTATGTTGAATAGAAGTCGAGATGTTTGCGAATGAAGGAGGTGGGGGGTCACCTGGTTTCAGAGGTAGAAATATAAAATTAGTGAGAAAATAGCCTCCAAAGATGAGTTATTTCCTTGGCTTGAGAGGTTGTGACAACTGAAAATTTACATTTTTTGTGCCTTTAATCAACGTTTTTCAGGAAAGTCCACTCAGAAATGTGTTCTTTAATGGGCATGAAAGGTGTTGAGGCAAAAAAGAAAAAATTCAATGAAAATTCACAAAGCTGCGGAAAAATGCTTGCTTTTTCACTTTGATTATTTTGACGAGTGCCAGATTTCACCATGCTGCCTCACATATAATTTAAATAAGTTCAGAATTCAGTGATTTTGATAGGGAAAACAGAAAATAACCTGTTGCCGAATAGGCATTAAGGTACAGAGCCAAGCTCTTTGTCATACTTTCTGTTTTTATTCTTTGGCAGTGTGATCATTGACTGTGAGGAATTTGAGAATTGATAGTGATATTATGACAGACAGCTCCATACTTCTAATACATGGCTGGTTCTAGCTCATGTTCATTTTCATTACTACTGATCTTGTGAGACTGCTTTTCCTGAGAAATAATATTTGGCTTTTGTCTTGTGGTAGTGGTAGGCCTACCTGTGTATTGGGAATAGGATGAGCTCTCGGGAGATGATGCTAGAATTTGTTTTCTTCTGCTCATGTTGTCATTTGAATGAGAGTTAATGGTTTACAAACAGAGCCTTAAGTTTATGGCTTTTTCCAGATTCTGTCTTAATTTCTTTAAAGTTTTGTGTCGTATATTTGGTGTGTATGCAGTGACTTTGATACTTTGGTTGTATTTATTATTGTGGAGTGTATGAGTATAAGACTAATGTGAGGCAGCCTAGTGAAACCAGGCGCTCGTAAAAAAACTGACAGCGAAGATGCAGGCATTTTTCAGCCAGTTTGACAGGTTTTAAAACATTTTTATTTGCTGAAAGTCCGTTTAAAACATATCTCTGTGTAGATTTTACTGAAAAACTTTGATTAAAGGCACAAAAATGTACATTTTCGGTTTCCAAGGACTCTCAAACTATCGAAGTCACCAAACTTTGGTGGCCATATTCTTTCTAATTTTACCTCTGAAATCAGGCGACCGCTAACGCCTTCAATTACACATATCTTGATTTCTATCAATTCAAGACAGATGGGTATTTTTTAATCGAAAGCAAAGACAAATGGACAAGCTTCAAGATGATACCAATACCTTCACATGCCCAAAAATTGACAAGCGCCTGATTCAACTGTGTCATGACACAAATGTATTATTGTTTTATATTAATTTATATGGATGTATAAATATGATTTCAAAGGGAAACTAGGAGAAATAAAAGTGCAGAGTATTGATGTAACAATAGAAGTGTTTGGATTTTTACA